ATTGTAGATGTAGATATAGATTGTATATAGATAGATAGATAGATTGTAGATAAAGAAGAGCATAATGAAACAGAACTTTTGGGATTCTAAGATAATGAAGAAAATGAATAATTGCTAATATCTTGTAAAGAATCCTCCAAACAATAAATATAGTTTATACCATATAATGAAAAAGAAAAAACATATATAGTTGTCTGAAAACCCTTGCACAAAAGTATATATGTATATAACCCTCCCCGAAAGGATCCAATAAATCAATTCAAAAGTGAGGGGGAAAAAAAAAAGAACAACAACAACGTCAAATTGTTTCGAGTATGTGTAAACAATCGAAAACTTTTGTAATAATCTATTTGCTAGAGTGGATAGTATCGGGTGTATTTTCTATCTCAATTATCAGAATGAGAGATATTTACACGCCGAATTTCGTTCCCGAGAATTCCTTTTGAGTAAAATCTGATTTCCCACATTAATTTTTAGACCTATCTGATACTTGACTTGAGATTACTTCAAGATATCAAAATGTAACTTAAGAAAAATAACGCATTTAGTGAAATATAAATTAAAATAACTGTGTAATATGAATTATAGCACTAGAAAAATTATTCATTATAATGAACTTCTTAAATGGCTACACGCTTGGAAAGAAATGCGGGTATTGTGGATATATATACTAGTAACATAAATAACATCCTTTATTGCACTAATTAAGAACTAAAAATATAAATTAAATCACTAGTACTTACTTTATAACCGTCAAGTTAATGAGACCTCCACTAACTCACATTTATTCAAGCATTAAACTTTAATGCTAATAATTGATATTCGAGCAATATATAATCTCTTCTTCATGCCCGAAATTCTAATCAATCAAGAGCTGTTTTTCTACTTGCAAATTGAGATGACTTCCAAGTTTGTTTTCTTGGTTATTCTTGGTGTTCTTATTTGCACCACCACTGCGAGAAAGCTAGTTGACTCAGATGGCTCTTTCAATGATGAAAAATTCTTCTTTGATCAATGGAATTTAGGAGGTGGCGGCGGTGGTGGAGGCGGCGGTGGTGGAGGTGGAGGTGGAGGAATAGGGGGTGGTTCTGGTTTCGGAGAAGGATTTGGTGGTGGATTTGGAGGTGGTGCTCAAGGAGGAGGAGGAGGTTTTGGTGGCGGGGGAGGTGGTGGAGGCGGATTGGGTGGAGGATCTGGTAGTGGATTTGGATTTGGTGGAGGATATGGTGGTGGAATTGGAGGTTGAGGAATCCTTTAAGTAGTTAAAGTTTCTGTCCATTGCATTTCCATTTCATACATAGTGATAATTTTCACTGCTCAAACAAAATAAACTACTTGATTGCAGATGTGTGATTTTGTAATCAAATTTATTCTAACATATTAATGCAAGCTTCCTTTGGTTGATTAATATGCCTCTTTCCTTATCTCATGCTTCATTTCTTTGATGCAAATCCTATTATGTTATAAGTTTAAAATTTGGCTTATTCTTATAATTTTGTCACAAATATAAAAAGTTATAGTGCACACTTTAAAAACGTGAAATTTAATGACTTTAAAGTCAAAATTTATTTGGGCAATTTAATACCATAATATCTAAGTGAATAAATTCACCCAATGCTTAGTCCCAAATAAAAAAGTTATATCCAACTTAACTATGATGGTCAATTCAAAGTTGACTTTGACATGCTCAATCTAAATAGATTTTGACTGATGTCACGGAAGATTTGTGTGTATGATGAAGGTTTTGGTATTTTATTTTTGTTTAGGGCTGGACACAAATTAAATTAGCTCCAAATGGAATCAAAAATGTGTTTGAGCATATGTAATCATCAAGACTGGTCCTGGGCACAAGCAAATGAGGCCTGTGCCTCGGGCCCAAAATAATAGGGGGGCCATTTTGGCCTAAAAGAAATTTTTTTTTTTTAAACATTAAAAGAAGGAAAAAGGAAAATGGTTTTTTCATTATTGAGATATTTGTTTGTTCTTTTAATGTTGAGTTTTAAATTAGCAATATGTTGCATAATACACTGTTGAATTTTGCATTTATGTTAATTTTGGGGGCCTAATTTTTGAACTTCGTCTCGGGCCCAAATAATCACAAGACCGGCCCTAGTAATCCTTGAGCAACAATCAAAATTAAATAAAACCTGCATGTTCATGTGTTTGGTCATCGTGTCCCCCCTAAGATTTTTTTACACCTGATAGAACTATAAAAGTTAGGCTCTCAAATCATATTGTGCATTCAATTTTATTTTTTTCATAAAGATTTATGACGAATTAAAAAAAATAAATGAAAAACCTAGCTACCCGTGATGGAACCACGACCAGTTAATTTGGACTGTTGAATTTCCCAAAATTTGAAGAATCAAGACTTAAGCGGCAAAGGGCCAGAAAGTTATTATGCCCTTGTTTTGAATCTTATTCTTTAAATTTTTATTTTTTCTAAACTTGTTTTCAATTACATATTCTTCCAATAATATAAATTTACACATAAATCTAAATTTTTCCTTACTTTTTAACTAAACATCCTCTAATAAAAATCATATTAAAAAATCTATTTTCTAAATAAGGAGCTCAAACTTACCCTATATGTGAACAGCGGCGGGCCTTTTTCTAGTTTGCTTCCTTAACATTTTTGTTAGTATCATCAATGTGGGATAAGATTACACCAAATAATGCTATTTATAGTCATTTACTATGACAATCGTTCTACGCTATATACACATAACATGTGATTATTTGATGAATGGGTCAATAAAATGTATATGTCATATAGGACGACTGTCGCAATGAGCAACTATGAATGGCATTACCTGATTACACTAGGTCTAAACATTTTGAGTTACAATATTACTTTTAAATTTTCAGGTAATTTTCCCATGCTATTGTTATTTGAAAATATGCGGGAAAATCTAAACCACAAAATAAATAATTACTTGAACTTGCTTTCTTC